ATAATGTACCTACCTAATAATGTAAAAACTTATTTAAGATTTTCATTATCATTTTGAGATTTTTTAATAAAATAATATTAATAAATAAACAAATTCCTGCAATAGGTACCCCTAAGTCCCTAAGTACTAGAACAATAAATAAATAATAATAATTTAATAATGTTTCATAATGCATTTGTTTATTTTAACCTGCCGACATCTATCGTTTTATTTTGAATGTCTGATAAAATACTCGTGTACACCTCTAGACATTCGAAGCTAGTATTAGTACACAGAGAATACAACGCTAGATGTCTCTGTTGTTAATAAAACTGCTAATATCATTGTCTTACGAGTGTAGCCGTTTTTGTTTGAACACAATGTACCTATTATTTCCGTCGATTGCAATAATAATCATTTAAATTATAACGCATTTAAAACTTTTCAAGAATTCATCAAGAAAAATACTTAAAATACTACACAATATCACTTTCGTTTCCTGAACACAGAATAAGAAGATAAACGTAACAATTTATTGTATTACCGTTCATCATAATATTAGTCAGTTCATCTGGGTATGCATATGATACCAACCTATTTAAATGAATAATTTATTGAAATTTGGGATAGTTTAATATTTGTAACTTTTTTATCACTTTATTTTATTTGGCAATAAAAACTAAAACTCCTTAATTTATGACACTTTTCCAAAATTGAATTATGTCATAAACTTACTAATGAGGTTCAAAATATTCAATTATCTTTAGCGTCAATCGGATTTTTCCTTTGCGGAGCAAAGTGTTACTTTAAAACAAATAAAATAATAATACAGCCAGATGACTGATGATAGTATTCGTAGTTTATTAGGGGATTTCTAGCGGGGGGGGGGGTCATGGGGTTCAACCCGAATACCCAATGGACCGTATTATTTTTATTTTTTTATTATAAAACAAATAATGCATCTGTAACTGCATAATGTACTTGTCGAATTATATTATCATAAAATTTTCCAATTCGTATTTTATCGTTAAATAAGTATGCACTTTACCTGTTTCTACATCCACCCCCGAGAGAACTTTTTCTTGTCTCAAAAGATTGAAATCTTACCTACGAAACACAATGACTGAGGTATTTTCTGGATATTAAAATAAAAATTTATATCAATTTTTTAAAAAATTTTTTGGTTTTAGACTCGACTTAATGGCTTAGCTATATTAGCTGTTCATAAAGAAATTCCACTAACAGCAGAAGAAGTTGTAAATGAATTGAGCAAAAAATCAAGAAAACTAGATTTTGTTCTTTGATTTTTGAATGTATATTGTATATTAGTATAATAGTTCCTATTAGTAAGTTATTATAGTTTAGTATCTAATTAACAGATATATCGTGCCAAAAAGTTAAGTTACCCTATATCCTCTATAGGATATAACTATTACTCATATGTGACTTATGAGTGAAATGATAACTGCAAAAGTTGCTCTTTGAGTAGATAAGTATAACTTCAGCGAAGAAGTGTATTTATGAAAAGGGATGCCCGATTTTACTTCACGAAAACTGTTTTAGAAGTAGTCAAGTTGATACTTCGGTAGATAAAAGAAACATTGGTTTTTTATAGTTACATCAAAATTAAACAATAATACTGTATAAATTATTATAATTCTTATATGTTAATATTATTATACCCCAATATTGTCAGCCCATATTGATATTATATGAAAATATGTACTGACTGACGACTGTAAAGTTAAAATTAAATATTCATATTGGTAGATAATAAAATTAATTATTGGTTAAAAAAAAAATAATAATATAAAAATCTCAAAAAGAGACGAAACAAATTGATAAAATATGTTGGTTATATCATACGAAAATAGTGGAATAGTGAATAAAGTATTTAAGAATTAAATCAAGTATAAAACGAGTAATAAATAATCTGTCTTCACGTGTTGTGTGTGATGAGTGATGAGTGAGATTTGAGTGGAATACCGAATAAGATAGGTATTGGTTTTACTGTACTGAAGTAATTTTAAGTTGGTAAATAGGTACTTTTTTTCGGTATAAGTTAGCCTTCTATTATTCGAAAATTTGGAGCAGGTGGTACTTTCTCTTCTCTTTAGAGATCGTTTGAGAAATAGTAGTTTTGTGGAAAATAAATAGTATACTAAAGAAAAACCCCAAAAACGGCACACTACTGTAAATCGTATAGTTATTTTTTAGTCGTTTATTGATTTTCTCCTTTTAATTAAAAAAACAAATTTTACATTTTCGGGAAAATATAAATAATTTTATACGACACTATCTATTTACTATTTATATTTCAATGAAATATAAAACTCTTATCTTAAAATGATAATATTTAGTCAATATTATTATCTAAACACATAGTGTAAATATTGGTTTATATTTTTAAGTATAGGCAAAATATATTTTATTTTAAATCAATGGTTATTCCACGGTGTATCATCATAATATATTGTTGTGAGTAGGGTTATTGTTTCTATAAGTTATGACATGAGTATATTTACAAGACGTGTTAAAATAATATATTTATATGAGTACTAAATTTAAAATGATGTTACCTATACTATATTATGTTGTAGGAGGACGGCAATCCGCACTGAGTTTGTAAATAAATCGTGTTTTCATCGATCGTTAGAATATAATAATCTTGTATCATACCCAACGGCCAACATAGGTATATCGAAACATTATAATCCTACATCTGAAATTACGTCAAATTCAATCAAATCGGTATCAGTCGCACCCGAAGTATTACTTTCTGTTTCTGCAGTGGTATTACTATTATATTATTAAATGCAAATAGATGAACAATAAATAAAAAAAATCATTCTCTTTTCATAAGTTCGGAAGGTCTCGGTTAATTTTTATTATTGAACATGATGCCATGCACGCGCATTGGAGCAAGAACCGTGTCGACAGTAATAATAATGTTGTTTTGGATTCAGAAAAATTGCAGATAAAATATAGGTACTCATGATACCCTGGTCGAATGGGAACACAAAACCACCGACTGTAAAGCGTCGATGCAATTTGCTCTGATGCATTTTTTGCGTCAAACTAAAAAAAAATATTATAATAAATAATATAGCCACAACTTACATTATCATCATTATCTATAGATTAGGTTGAGTTGACTAACTACAATCTACATATTATCTACATTACACATACTCAGTACCAAGTATTAAATAATAGTAACAATGTATTAAACTCCCTCATCGTTTCGTACATTTAATAATTATAACATGATATATAATTATAATTAGTTATATTCGTAGTTCTAGTTCTATTGAAATTTGCTAGGATTTCGTTGAAACATAAATTTACAATAATTTCAATAAAAATGTTGTACAATTTTTATTTTTTATTAACATAATAACATTACTTGTCAACGTTATTTTTATGAAAAAATGCAAGAAATACATACTTACTCATCAAAAACCATAATATTATGTTTTATAATATTTAAATAACATTTGTTTTTTAATTTAAAAAATAAGGAATATTTATTGTCTGTAATCTTTTTAATACAATAAGTACCTATATATAGTACCTATATCAGATTTATTCAGATTTATTCAGATAATTCTTTTTAGTGGAATAATATTTTTTGTCAATATAATATACTATTATAAATTATAAAAACATGAATATATATTTATACCTACACGGTTATACACGAGGATGTAGGTCTACCCTGAGAAACCCTCAGAAAACAATATTAAATGTGCAAATGATTATATTATATTATTATATATAATATTGTATTCACTAAAATGAGGGCACATTGCATTTTAACGTTAGATTTAAAGCTGTATTTACGTATTCAAATTTATATAGCTACTAAACAGATAGGTTTTATCCAATTTTTGGAATTGTTTATTAATTGTATTAAAGACCTCTTAAATAGGTACCATGAAATACATTTACAATTTGTTTCAATTTTTTGACGATTGGTGTAGAGTTCACAACTATTTATGGTTTTCTAACAGTATAATAATCAATGACAGCTATATATTATATTATATATAGAATTTTCTAAAATCAACATATCATCGAGTACCTACAGTTGAATATTGAATAGATCAATAATATTTAGTAGGTATAGGTATCTATACGCATTAGGTACACATATTATTTGCGTTTGACATACCGACCTCTGTATAATATAATATATATCTTTTTCAAATTGTCATTTCACTTTATCTAAGACATATAGTAAATTAGGATTGACATAATAGATATTGAGCGATGTGATCACATTCCTCGAAGAATGTATTTTTGATAAAAAAAAAAAAGTAAAAACAACAAAACATCAAGCTACAAATATGGAAGAAACATTTGCTTTAACAAGCTTATTTGATTATCTGTTTAAAAAATAAAAAATGTCTTCGTTTTTAAAATAATAATAAATCGATTTAAATAGGTTAGAACAAATATTAAATAGTAGCAACTTAAAAAAATGTTTAGTAAGATAAATAAAAATAATTAGTGCTTAGGTACATTAAAATATAATATATTTTAAAAATCACACAGGTTGTGTTGTATATTTTATAGATATTACATACATATATTATAGGTACGATAGTATGTAATATACAATATAAATTATACATATCTGCATATTAGCTATTATCTAATGACTGTCACAAGTACTCACAACTCACAATGTTATTATACACATTATAGTCTTAGTAAGTTCTATAAAGTCTAGAGAAACATAAACGATATTGCTGGGTTTAATTACTTTTGAATAGCACAACAACGATCCCTTTCTAATTGTTGGGTCAAGAAAGGTCTTTCGGAAGACAGTCGAAAACGACTTTGATGAAACCCCACACAGTCTCACTGCAGCCCTGCAGGGATGTAATGCGAATGACGTGACTGGGATTTGATAAGAAATAACACCTAGAGCTTGTACCTCCCCCTCAAGTTTTTCCAAATCTCCGGTTCCATGGATTCGGGCCGTCTACCCAAAAAGGACTACTGATTGATTACAAATGTACTTTGACCCGACGTTTTCTCGGCAACCGGCGATGTCCTTACACGCTCATCTCCATTTACACCACCCCTCGCAAACTATTGCCCAGATGACCTCCCCCGCTGGTCGAAACAGCACTTGCAGTCCAGCACAATGCAATCCAATATCACAATGGAAGCCGTTTATACGTGCAGAGAGATCTTTCTACGGCTGTCCGCGACGTTTTCCGACCATCCATCAAATAGATGTCATTAACTTAATATTGGTCGCCCGTAATCTGGTGCCGCATAATGCGAACTAATTTATCACCCCTTGAATGTCCGGAATCGGACCTGTCTTGTTTACCTATATACCAAAACAATTGGAATTGGAAATATTCCTAGTGTTTTAAGTGTTCGGTGACCACGGGTGTCATGTCTAGAACGACACACACACACATCCATACATACACCAGCACCAGTACCAGTAGTGGTGGACAGGAGAATTCATTGTAAACATAGCTTTTATAATAATTGTTAAGACTGTGATCACGTTTCGTCGTTCAGAAATTTTATATTGCTTAAATACATTTTCATGACCTGCATTTTGCTTAATTTTTTTAAAAACTCGTCCACCGAATAAAAGTTTAAATTGGAATTAACTTTTATATTTATCATCTATACAATTTTATATATTCTTGATTACCTGTAACTATTTATTAATTAGACATTTGTTCAAGTTCTTCAAATATCTGTTCTAGAAATTAATTAAAAATCGTAAACTGCGACTCTGCATTATAGTCTGCCCGGTTTTTCGATTGTATTTAGCTGACAGACGACAGTTATAATTGGACTTAACTGACATTTAATAATATCTCCAAGTTAAACTGTTTTTAAAACGACAGTTGTCTTAACTTGTAGTGTTAACCAACAGTTAAAATAATCGCTACAATCTCTTATGGTTATCCTACTTACTCTTGTTAATGTTATTTGTTATATTATGTAGGTACTTTATACCTACATTAAATACATTAGATATATTATGATACCTAGATGTCTAGGTAGTGTAAAATAAAATCAAAAAAGTTAAAGTTTTCTTTTGAATCTAGTGCGAAATTATTTAAAAAATATTTATTTTTTTTTAGATTTTAGTTAGTATATGATATATCTTTTTTTAATAGGTACCTATATAATGAATTTTTAAAATAATTACATTGTATAATGTATATTATATGATGACGACGGCAGAGAATTAAATTTATTATAATTTTATTAAATTTAAGACCTATAATATACTCTCATCCAAACTCAGATTGCACATTTTAGAATGTAATGGTATGGATCTGAGCAGTGTTGAGCTCAGATAACAAAAACATTATCTTTATCTATAGGGTACAGATAAAAATAATCAGGGTCTAAGACTAAGATACATTGCTACTGCACACCTAATTTCACACCAAAATATTTTTAAAAAAATGAACATAGACCAAGTAGTGCACATACCACATATAACTTCATTGCATAATTGTTTTTGCTATTTTTTAATAATTAGTTATATTAAATACAATCTAAGACAATCTTCTATAAAAGTCCTTAATACCTATATGGCTATATGACTAAACATTTTCAAATTAAAAACGAAATAGCTTGGGTTAATATACTTATCATCGGTACTATTTTTAGTCTTAAGGATTTTAAACGAATACAATATGGTAAATATGCTAATTAGTAATTTTCAATAATCAATATTGAATATTAATCAAATAAAAATGTATAAAAGCCGAAAATAGGTACTGCACACTTTTAAATTTGCTACTACACACTTAATATTAGCTACTGCACACAATTTTAGGCCCTGAAGATAAATAATATAAAACGTTATTATATTTAAAATAAAATAGATAAATTCAAATGTTTACATATTAATAATAAAACATAAATAGTATTAGTATTTATAGGTGAACATGATTATTTGCGTGTAAATAAAATATAATTTTCCAAGATCTGACTTATTGAATTAAATTTACTATTTCATACCAAAAATTTATGATGTTTAGCCTGTAGAACTTAATGATAAAAATGTTGTGACAGACTTATATTTATATATAAATGCAAATAAGTGTATGTACTGTATATTCGAGAATACTAATTAAGAATTGAACATAAATAATAATTAACATTAGTCAACCACTCAACCATACAAGCAACTAGAAATATTAATCTTAATTTATGTGTTTGGATTTCCACTGGCGCTTTGTTTTGGAAATAGGAAAATCTTTTGTAATCAATAATTATATTCTAATACAATATCAATTGGATCGTCAGAATTATTAACAATTTAATAACTATAACATCATAGGCGTAACTAGTGTTAAAATTCTGGGGGGGGACTACAGCCCACCTAACAAATCTATTAATTTAAAATAACCCATAGGCAGATTAAATCTAAATAAAGGGGCTAAATCGTATTGTTTGTGTGAACTGTGAATACTGAATAACAATTGTCAGTTACATTATAGCGTCGACCAAAATTGCAGGTCTGTGTGACTGTGCCTATATTTTGTTGTAAAATAACCGAAAACATGCATTACATAATACTTCTGAATACCATAATGATAAGTATGCAGTTTAATATACTGCACTAAAATATAAGTATACGGGCGAAGTCGATGAAATCTATGTAGGTATATAATATAGACTTTCCTTTGAAGAATTCTCATTTATTTTTACTGTGTTTTTTCCTTCAAATTACTTTTATATATATTATTAAAAAGCTCTTCGCAGAATAATTAAATAATATTTTAAATATTTCATAATATTAAAATCAAAATCATTCACGGATATTTACGGAAATTTATCCATCTAGATAAGATAGGATATCAAAAGTTATTGTCTAGATAATCTCAACACTAGATCTGAGTCCCATGTAGCTCAGTAGCTGTATACAGAAGATATATAGAAACGATAAAAAAATGTGGGTTAGACACGAAATATGAAAGTCTGTATAAGTCCTATAAATAGGGCAGATTTAGAGAGCTCACGATTACTATTTCAGACCCATGTGTCTCGGTCATTAAAAAAATATTGATATAATATGTATTTGAGCATTCACAAAGTCATTATTTTTACTTCGCTATTTAAATATATCGGAATATTTAAATTTCGAAACACATTCATTGAATTTTAAGATTCTGAACTGTAGATCTAGTAGAAAATAAATTGGTTTTATATTAAGTAGGTATATGTATATGGATTATTTTTGTGTGTCTGTCATCGCGTTTTGGAACAGAAAATCTGCTTCAATCTTAAGAATGGTTTCTGGTAGAAAATTTAATGTAATTGGTATACACTGGGACTGGGTTGTCAACAATATTAAACTCTGGGCACTTTTCTTAATTATAATTTAGAAAATAAATAATAATAAATATTAAGAATATAGTTTTTCCTATTTGGAAAAACTAATAAAACTCAGCGGGAAAACGGGAATAATTACTCGATATTTATAATAAATATGATATTTATTTGTTTTTTAATTATGATGGAAAGTTATAACCGCAGACACTTGACATTTTCACTAAATACTTGTTTTATTATTTTCTAGTCATGATAAAGTTGTCTACTTTTTAACAATTTTTTATGAACATAAATTCATAACATTTTTATTTTGCACTCAAAAAACATGATGAATTAATCAAAGATTCATCATAAGTTGTTTTTACTTTTTACAATAGAACCATGAAAACAAAAATACACAATCACAATCTTTTTTAAAAGCATTGAAAGTTCATATGTTGACAAAATAAGAAATTCAAACTTAAGACATCATTCATTTTTTTCAACTGGTTTTAGTTAATTTGTTGTAATTCAAAATATATTAACCGTAGAAAGTTGAAACATTCCACTAATACTTATATGATAATTTTCAATACACAGTGAAATATTTAAAATATTAGGACTAATGTTAAGAGGATGTCAGAGCATCATTTGTCTTCTCTCTCCCACCCATGAGAAACATTTATGTATAAAAGAACCAACCATGTGTTATTATTACTTATAATATTAGAGTGAATTAATCTATTATAAAACTATCATCTAAGAACGTATGATCCCGTGTCCCTACGTTGACTTTTTTACGATATTTTAATTTTTATAAAATTTATATTTATTTTTAAATCGTAATAATTTATACGACCTTCGCTTATAAATTAAAATTAAATTACGATAAAAAAGCCTACGTAGGGACACAAATAATGCTCTTAACTTAAAGCTTGATAATAGGTGAATTCACTCTTTTATTAAAAGTAATAGGTAACACAGGAACACAGCAGGGTTGGTACTGCCACAGAATAATATAATGGTACTGCTAAACATAGGTACATTTTTTATGTTGCATGAGAGTCAGAAAGAGACAACAAATGCTGCGTTGACAATCTGACATCATCTTAATGTATTTATACCACGAATAAATAGTATGGTTCATCGATATTGGCGTATAATAGTTGTATTCGATATTTTTGTTTAAATCAAAAAAATCCAACTCACACGCCCTTCAATTAATTTTAATTATAAAAAGGGTGAAAATATAATTTGTATAGGAAATTGCTCTGCTGTACAATAGGTGTCGTGTGTACCTCGTCATTGAGGAGTAAGTAACTGTAATGTATGTGTTAAATTTGAAATCAATTTTTAACATAAGAAAAATTGAATTTTACACCGACAAAGCAAAATTGATTTTGTCGAAACGGTTATTATTGCTAAATTGGTCCCGGTTTTCTTTAATTTAAATTTTTTCCTGGTTATTTTTAAAAGTACAAATAACTTTTTAATTTTTACCACCCAATATACCAACTACATTCAATTGCATTTCAATTGAAACCATCCTCAAAATAGAAAATCGAAGCATTTTGTCAGATGTCGGACAAAAGAATATCTAAAATATCAACACTGCAGGTCTAAATCTAAAAAACAATAACATATAATTTACTATCCTTAGAAATATATGTTATTAATAATTTTCTTGCTGAGTACCTGCACACTTTGTGCCACTTTAATTTGATGTTATAGGTATACGTATAATACCATTAGTATATGCTATTATTGCACATAGATATTAAATCATAATATTTAGTGTCTGTTAATATTTTTTGATTACATATCAATTACAATAAATTATATGTAGGTGACTGGTTAGTAAAATAATTAATTGAATACGTCTATAAATATAATATTTTACATAAATTCAAAAACATTTCGATATTTTATTTCCGTTGAAAATGTCGCTGGGACATTTTCAGTCGGCACAGCAGGAGACGGTAAATAAATA